CATAGTGTTTCTTTGTTGGACAATGCATGAACCTAGCTAATAGGCTAGCTGCAAACATTATGTCAGGTCTTGTAGCTGTCAGATACAATAAGCTGCCCACAATTTGTCTGTATTCACTCTCATCTGCAGAATCACTCCCATCATCCTTGCACAATTTTTCACTTGCCACAAGAGGAGTACTAACTGGCTTACATTGTTTCAAGCCAAACTTGCTCAACAGTGTCAGTGCATACTTCTTTTGGTTTATGAAAATGCAGGATTCAGTTTGAATCACTGCAATACCAAGGAAATGATATAAGAGACCTAAGTCAGTCATTTCATACCTTCTCATCATTTCAGACTTGAACTCTGCAATCAATTCCCCAATGCTTCATGTATACACAATGTCATCAACATAGATTGAGACAATTAGAGTTCCAGAGTCTTCCTTAGTCTTGCAGTACAATGTGGCCTCACTTGTGCTTCTGATATATCCACAGCTAATGAGGTAGGCATTGATCTCCTCATACCAGGCTCTTGGAGCCTGTTTTAAACCATACAAGGCTTTCTTCAGTTTATACACCTTATCTTCATAGTTTGGAACCACAAATCCATCAGGCTGATCTACATAAACTTCTTCTTTAATTACACCATTTAGAAATGCAGATTTAACATCTAACTGGTATAACTTCCACCCCTTTTGAGCTGCCAATGCTATGAGAGTTCTGATGGTATCTAGTCTGGCCACATGAGCAAAAGTCTCATTGAAATCAATTCCAGGCTTCTGTGCATAGCCTTTGACTACCAGCCTAGCCTTATGCTTCTGTATTGAGCCATCAAGGTTCAGTTTAGTTTTATAGACCCATTTAACACCAATTACAGGTTTGTCACCTGGTCTATCCACTAGTTCCCAAGTTTCATTCTTCTCAATCATCTCCATTTCTATCTCCATTGCCTTATTCCAAGCTTTATCCCTTGAAGCTTCAGCAAAAACTTTCTGGTTCAATGATGCTCATATTGCATCTAGCATAGATCTCAGTGATATCTCTGAGCTTCACAGGTGTAGAACTTGGTGATTCATTTGGTGAATCAGCATTTGAAGCATTTGTGATCATCTCATCTGAGCTGGAGATATTTTCAAACTGTGTTTCTGGTGTAGATGAAGTTGTGACTTCATACTCTTCTTCAATACTTCTAGAATTGTCTTCAAAGCTCATTGGAACCGTGACATACTCAACAGCCTGTTTGTCCAAATCCCATAATGCGCGTTCATAAAAAATGACACTTCTAGACACAGTTATCTTATTGGTCTGCAGGTTGTATACTCTATAGCCCTTTTCACATTTTCCATAGCCAACAAAAATGCATTTGACAGCAGAGTCTTCCAATTTAGACCTCAATTGACTAGGAACATGGCAAAAACAGATGGAACCAAATACTCTCAAGTGTTTAATTCCAGGCTTTCTCCCACTAAAGGCTTCAAAGGGAGTTATGTTAACTAAAGCCTTTGTAGGACATCTATTTTGAATGTAGACAGCAGTATTCACTGCCTCTCCCCATAACATGTATGGTAATTTCTTCTCATTCATCATTGCCTTGCTCATTTCTACTATTATCCTGTTCTTTCTCTCAGCAACTCCATTTTGCTGAGGTGAGTAGGCCACAGTTAGTTGTCTTTCCAAACCAATTTCCTCACAAAGCTGCAGAAATTCAATGGAAGTGTATTCTCCACCTCTGTCACTTCTAAGTTACTTGATTTTTAAGCCACTTTGCAATTCCACCATAGCTTTAAACTTCTTGAATATATTAAACACTTCTTACTTAAACTGCATGAAATACACCCAGCACATTCTAGTGCAGTCATTAATGAAAGTCAGGAAGTATTTATTTCCCCTTATTGTTGTAGTCTGCATAGGTCCACAGACATCTGAGTGCACCAGCTCCAGTGGCACACTTGCTCTCCATGGTTTCTCTTTACCAAAAACTTCTCTGTGTGCTTTTCCAATTGCACACCCTTGATAGATTCTCTCTACATTACCAATGACAGGCTATCCATAGACTAGCTCTTGTTGTTGTAACAGCCTCAAGCTCTGCAGATTCAAGTGACCAAACCTCTTATGCCAGCACCAAGTGGATTCTTCAACAGTTGCCTTCATAGCTATAGAATTTGCATACTTAAGTGAAAGTGGAAAACATCTATTTCCTGTCATGGAAACTTTTGCCACTAAGTTTTTCATATAGCTGTCATCAAATATCTCCACCATGGAATTTCCAAAAACCAGAGAATAGCCATGTTCTACCATCTAACCCACACTAAGTAAGTTCTCATCCAACCCTGGTACAAGCATGACTTCTTTAATGTATCTAGGACCAGATTTTGTGTCAATTACCAGAGTTCCTTTCCCAGTTGCTTGCACCAAGTCTCCAGTGCCCATTTTTACTTTTGCAGTGACCTTGGTGTTAATGTTGACTAGAAGAGATGCATGTGAAGTCATGTGGTTGCTACATGCACTGTCCACATACCACACACCATTATTTTTCACTATTTCAGCAGCATGACAAGCATAGAACATAGTGCCTTCTTCCTCTTTGTGTGATGCATAGTTAGCAGCTTGATCTGGTTTTCCTTTGCAATCTTTGGCTATATGACCAAACCTCTCACATTTATAACACTTAGGTTTGCCTTTGAACCAACAAGCACCATAGTGCAACTTGTCACAGGTTTTGCAAGGAACCTCGGCTCCTTCAGTCTGATTTTCCTTCTTGGAATTGTTTTCAGACTTGGTGTCCCACTTCTTCCCTTTCTGAGATTTCCAATTCTTCTTAGACTTGGAACTACCTGCTTGTCCTGTGTTTGATTGGTCTCTAGAACCCACATTTAGGCTGTAAAATGCCTTTTCTATCACTCTCTCATTATGCCTTAGTAAACGTTGTTCATGGGATTTTAGGGAGCCTATATCCTCCTGGACCCCTATGGATTCTGTATCCTTGGTTTCCTCTATAACTTCAGCAATAGAATCATATTCTCTAGTTAAACTAATCAAGAGTTTCAGAACAATTCTTTGCTCAGTTAACTCTTCACCATAAGCCTTCATTTGATTCACTAGCTCAAGAAGTTTAGTGACATAACCAGATAATGATTCATCATCATGCATACGAGTGTATTCAAATTCTCTTCTAAGAGCTTGAAGTTTCACATATCTCACCTTCTTATCTCCTCTGAACTCTTGTTGCAGGATTTCCCATGCTTCCTTGGTTGACTCCTTCAATGCAATTCTGGGAAAGATGTCATCAGAAACTACACCTAGTATCAGCCCAAGGCCTTAGCATCCTTTGCAATATTCTCTTCCAAAGCAAGCTTTTGAGCTGTAGTAAGATCTTCTCCTTCCTTCTTCATAGGTTGATCATATCCATTTTCAACCATATCCCACAGCTTGTGAGATTTGAAGATTGTGCACATCTTTATTCTCCAGAAATCATAGTTGCTCCCATTGAAGATTGGAGCACGAAGCTCACCCGTTCCAGATCCAGCCATGTGAGACCAGAATCAGAGGGTATCTCAGCTAGCTCACTACGATTCCACTATGCCTAGTCTCAGATCTGAACCTGGCTCTGATACCATGTTGGAGTTTTTATATTGTATGAGTTTTCTTGTAGAGGAAGTATATGAAGAAATGTAGCAGAGAGAAGAGTTGGTCTGGGAGAGAGAGAGAGAGAATGTTACTGAGCTCCAAGAGCAATAGAATGCAACGTACTCACACACATTTTATTTCTAACAGAAACATTCCTTTTGTACAACAGAGAATATGATCTCAGCCATACAATTTAGTGTCAGCAATATGAGCTGCACACTTGGCATGAGCTAGGACCTATGAGACCTACACTCTAGAATGAAATCTAAGCCTTACACCTGTCTATCTAACAGACTTAAACCAGTAAATGATTTACATTTCAACACAACATTTAATTTAAAATACCCAGTCGGTGGCGGTTGGCACCGGACCACATTAGACTGCAAAGAAGCCCTCCTATGACGATCCAAAATATCAGCTTTGTATTCGACATCATAGTTCTTTACTCGACAAAGAATCTCCCATACTTGTAGAGCACCAACACCAAACAGCACATTAACTCTTTGAGCCAAAAAAAAAAAAAGCAAAATAACTATACATATTATATTAAGTATTCTTTCCGTCTTTTTTTTAGAGTATCTCCAATCATGCTCCCTATTTTAGAGTATAGTTTTAATAAAGACTAGATAGTTATTTTAGAGCTCTTCATAAAATTTATATATGGGGAGTTATAATGAGTATTAATCTCTCCAAAAAAAAATTTCAACTTGAAAATAAGAATCATGATTGATGGTTCTATAATAGGAATAAATTCATTTAAAATATAATTAAATTATTAATTATTAATGATAGAGAGTCATTTGGAGTTCATTTCTCTTCTCGGAGCTTCTAGAGGTCTCCTTAATTTAAGAGCTAGATAGAGAGCACAGTTGGATTTAAATTTTCTGACATTCTCTCTAAATTTTAACTTAGGAGCACATTCAAGTTACCCATTGGAATTTATCATTCCAAGTGTTAGTTTCGAGTTTGAAGATGTCATTTTCTTAACTCTCCCTCCTTTCATCTTATTCCCTCAAAATTCAAAAACCATTTACTTCATCAAAACAGAACCCAAAGGTTTATTTTTCAGTTAAGAAAATATTACTTAAAAGGTGAAAACGTTCGATCCTTTCAACTTAAATGACGTTGGAAACAAAAATAAAATAAAATAAAAATTACAAGAGATCTTACCACATAAAGCGACCACCATTAGATTTCATTTTAATGAGCTTGAGTGGATGAGATTCAATGAAAATGAGAGAAAAGGAGACAGTAAAAAAAGAAGTGCAAGTTAAAATTGAAATTGGTTAGTTGGTTACATGTAAAGATGGTTTAAACTAGTTGGTTATGTAAAGCTGGTGCATAACTGAAAATGAAAAGCTGTACAAAACAGAGAGAACGTTTAGGGCAGGGCATTTCACCTATATAATTACATTTCTCTGTAGCTGGGGGGAAACAAGGGAGGCATATGTAAAGGAAAGAAGAAGAAGAAGACGACGTCGTACGAGGGAGGATTCAAAGAAGTAAATAGATAAGAGTATATAAATGAGTCCACCAGGATCAGGAGACGCAACAGTTCGGGTATGTTATAAGATGACAGTTTTCATGAGAGGAGATTTTTGGCATGCGGAAACCCCCACCAACAGATCTCTCCCATCGCTCAACAGCCAATTGGTCATCGTCATGCTCGTCACTCGCATTCTCAGGGTTGCCTTCAAGCCTCGTATTGTCGCTGATATTCTTTTAAGTAGTCTTAGCTCTTATAAATATTGAAATGTCATATCTTCTTATATAAATGTGAAAAGAAAACTGAAATATACTTTCGTACAATGTGAGTTCCATAGGATTTTCATGTCAAAATTGTGTTATTCATCTATGTTCGGAAATAGGTGCTAACACAACAGTTCGTTTGTTATTATTATATGTGTAAGCATGTTATATGTGTTGGTTCGTATAAAATAAAAATCAAGTATAATTTGTTGAGTGCATTTCACCCGTGACCAGGGACAGATCTACAGAGGAGCAAGGGTGGTCAAGTGACCCCTGCAACCTCTGAAATCTGCCAATGAGGGGGAGAAAATTGACCCCTGCAAAGTGTTTGATGAAAGTCCCCAAAGGGGCGCAGACTATTGCTCCAGTTTTATATTAAAAAAAGGGCGCAAACTCTGTTTAAACAGACAGCCCGATACCTCCCCTCCCCCAAATCAGTTTTAGCTCATATTTTTTTCCAAATGTCAAACCCTAAATCCCCAAACCACCGGTGCACTTATGATGCATTCTTGAGCTTCAGGGGCACAGATACACGCAAGGGATTTACTGATCACCTCTACAGGGCTTTGGAGGTGGCAGGGATCCACACTTTTAGAGATGATGACGAAATCGAGAGAGGAGCAAATATTTCAGCAGAGCTTCAAAAAGCAATACAAGAGTCTCGAGTATCCATCATTGTCTTCTCCAAGGACTACGCTTCCTCGAGATGGTGCCTGGATGAACTAGTGACGATCATGGATCGTAGAGAAACTACTGAGCACATGGTCATGCCGATTTTCTATGATGTGGATCCATCCCATGTCAGGAACCAGACAGGAATTTTTGAAGAAGCATTTGCCAGACACCAACAGTGCTTCAACAAGGAGATGGACAAGGTGGAGAAGTGGAGAAAAGCTCTCGGAGATGTTGCAGATTTGGGAGGGATGGTTTTAGGAGATCGGTACTTTTTCATTCCCAAAATGATGCTTTTTAAAGTAGATTATAGTGAAGCTTTTTCTTTAATCTCATGGAGTTGTTAGACGGCAGCACTTCTGTTTTGAAAGTTCATTTGCTTAATATCATTCATTTCAACCTATGATATAAATATCAATTCTCTTCTATAAAATAAAAATAAAAATAATAAAGAAATAAGTTTCTGTTTGTTGAAAAGAAATAACTTATTGTGCCTTGTGTATTTTAATATCAATAATTTATAGGTCCGAGTCGCAGTTTATCCAAGAAATAGTTGAAGTTATTGGAAATAAACTAGATCACACATGGAATAGGAGATTAAGAGTCAATCCCCATGTAGTTGGAATAGATTGTCGTGTGAAAGGCCTAAACATGTGGTTAGAAGATGGATCAACTGATGTTGGAGTAGCTGTAGTCTATGGGATGGGTGGAATTGGCAAGACCACCATTGCCAAGACTGCTTATAACCAGAATTTCAATAAATTTCAAGGTAGCAGATTTCTTGCAGATATTAGAGCAACTTCAATACTTCCCAATGGTTTGGTTCACTTGCAAAGGAACCTTCTTTCAGATCTCCAAAAGGGGAAAGCAAAGAAAATATACAGCTTGGATGAAGGAATCACAAAGATCGAACGGGCGATACGTTGCAAAAGAGTTCTTATTGCTCTTGATGATGTGGACAACTTGGAACAATTCAATGCAATTCTTGGAATGCGAGAATGGCTTCATCCAGGAAGTAAAATAATCATAACAACTAGACATGAACATTTGTTAAAGGCTCATGAGAATTGTGCAATATTTGAGGTGGAAGGGTTGCATGAGTATGAATCACTTGAGCTTTTCAGTTGGCATGCCTTTGGACAACCCCATCCTGGCGAAGGTTACATGGATTTTTCAAGACCTGTAGTGCAACACTGTGGAGGGGTTCCATTAGCTCTTCAAGTTCTAGGATCTTCTCTCTTCGGAAAAGCTGCAGATGTATGGAAAAATGCATTACAGAACTTGGATGTGATTACTGAAGGAAAAATTCAAAAGATTCTCAGAATAAGCTTGGATTCCCTGCAAGATCATGACAAACGTCTGTTCCTCCATATAGCATGTTTCTTCATAGGAAAAGACAAGGATTTTTCAACTACAGTCCTTGATGAATGTGAGTTTGCCACAAACATTGGAATTCAAAATCTGGTTGACAGATGTCTGCTGATAATTGATGGATTCAACAAGTTGGCCACAAACATTGGAATTCAAAATCTGGTTGATAGATGTCTGCTGATAATTGATGGACTCAACAAGTTAACCATGCACCAATTACTTCAAGACATGGGAAGGGGAATTATTCGCGAAGAATCGCCTGAGGATCCTGGAAAACGTACTAGAGTGTGGAATAAAGATGCTTCTAATGTTTTGAGAAAATTAACTGTAAGAAATACCTTCTTTTATGTCTATGTATTTGTAATTGTGTTGTGCATGTGACAAGTTACTTACCCAATGTTCTTATTTGTTACCAGGGTACAGAAACTATTAAGGGCCTCATGCTCAACATTCCTATGTTAATAAAAGATGAGTCTTCTAAGATAATATCCAGTGGAAGTAACAGAAAAAGATTCCATGTTGAAGATTATGATGGAAACTGTTCAAGCAGCCGACGTCGGCTTGGTTTCTTCTCCTGGCAGTCAATTAGTTTTTCTTCAACAAACTCATTTCCTGTATCAAATGAGACAGGTTTCAAAACCGAGGGATTTAGAAGGATGCACAATCTTGAACTCCTGCTGCTTGATAATGTAAAAATCAGTGGAGGCTATGAAGATTTCCCAAAAAATTTAATATGGTTGTCTTGGCGAGGATTCGCTTTAAAGTCAATACCAACCAATTTTTACTTGGAAAGACTAATTGCTCTTAACTTGCGGAACAGCAGCCTCCAACATGTTTGGAAGGGAACTAGGGTATGCTACTAATCTCTCTCTAGCTCTCTCTCTCTCTCTCTCTCTCTCACACACACACACAGACAAATTTAAAGATGATTATATATTCATAAAGCAGCCGACGTCGGCTTGGTTTCTTCTCCTGGCAGTCAATTAGTTTTTCTTCAACAAACTCATTTCCTGTATCAAATGAGACAGGTTTCAAAACAGAGGCATTTAGAAGGATGCACAATCTTGAACTCCTGCTGCTTGATAATGTAAAAATCAGTGGAGGCTTTGAAGATTTCCCAAAAAATTTAATATGGTTGTCTTGGCGAGGATTCGCTTTAAAGTCAGTACCAACCAATTTTTACTTGGAAAGTCTAATTGCTCTTGACTTGCGGAACAGCAGCCTCCAACATGTTTGGAAGGGAACTAGGGTATGCTACTAATCTCTCTCTAGCTCTCTCTCTCTCTCTCTCTCTCTCACACACACACACAGACAAATTTAAAGATGATTATATATTCATAAAAACTAATTACTTCTTTTTTAAAACAGTTTCTTCCAAGACTGAAAATCTTAAATCTCAGTCATTCACATGGCCTTGTGACAACCCCTGACTTGTCAGGATTCCCTAACCTCGAGAGATTAATTCTTAAAGGTTGCATAAATTTGAAAGAGGTGGATGAATCCATTGGAGATTTGGAGAAACTTGTTTTCTTGAATCTAAAAGATTGCAAAAATCTCATGAAGCTTCCAATAAGAATTAGTATGCCGCGATCTCTCCAGAAACTTATTCTCTCTGGTTGCTCAAATCTTGTGCTGCCTGCCAGTATGATCCTTAAAAATCAGTCAGACTCTACACCTACTGACATGAAGAAACTCAGTCTGTTATTTGCAGTTAAATCGTGGCAATCAATCCGATCATGGGTATTGCCAAGAAAAAATCTCCAACTTACCAGTGCAAGTTTGCCACAATTTTTAAAAAGCTTAGATATGGCGTACTGCAATCTGTCAGAAATTCCCAATGATCTTAGTAGCCTATCCTCATTGGAGTATTTGGATCTAAGTGGAAACCCATTTTTGAGCCTATCAGTAAACATGAATGGTCTTAGTAAGCTCCAGACTATTTTGTTGGAAGGTTGCACAAACCTCGAAATGATTCCCGAGCTCCCACCAAGTGTAGAGATTTTGCGCGCATGGTATTGTACTTCATTGAAAAGAGTACTACTAAACTTACCCGACATGTTAAAAACAATTAGACGTGCGGTTTTAATATGCGAGAATTTAGTTGAAATTCAAAACGTGTTCAAAATGAGACCGTTGAGAAGCGTCGACATAGAAATGATCAAAGATATCGGTTTGTTCAATTTGGAATCCATAGGAAGCACTGACGTTGAAATGCTCAACTGCTTGACAGGTACAACAAGGAAGGGTCCTCTCCAGGTTCTCTCTCTCTCTTTCTCATGTATTGTATAGTTTTTTATGATGATTATTTTCTGTGGCCTGTAATATTTGAACGTATATAAATCTCTCCATGCATGCATGAAACAGGGACTGGATGAATGTGGTATATTTAGTATATTCCTTCATGGGAGCGAGGTTCCAGATTGGTTCTGCCACAAGTCGAGCATGGGTAACTCTGAGCTGTCTATAACTATACCTCCACATCGAAATTTGAAGATCCGAGGCCTAAATGCATGTGTTGTGTATGCACAAGGTAAGGTTCGTGATGAGAGATTGATTTACTTGGGCGTTCCCGTTCTTCGCATCAGTAATGAGACCAAGGGTCTTAAGTGGAGCTATGTGCCAGTCACAATAGGGTTTCCAAAAGAGAAGGAACATATGTTATGGCTTAGTCATTGGCGATTCGCAAACGATGAATTGGAGGGTGGGGATGAAATACGTGTTTCGGTAGATAAAATACGTAGTTCGGTTAGAATTGAATTCGATACGAAGGAATTTGGAATCCAGGTTGTGTACGAGCAGAATAATAATGAGGGTAGTGTAACCGAAGATATAACCACAATGTTCCAGCATGAAACAACTACCCCTTTGATCCAGAATCAAGTCATTGCTGGAGATGTGTCAGCGTTAGCATCAAGGTTTCATAAAAATTATACAAATAAGGTGGGTGAATACTTTATTTGTAATCATAATGAATTATCATATTTCTGGAGCCAATTAAGGCCTACAAGGGTCACTTGACCAACATTTTGAAAATATTTTTCTCTATGTTATCCAAATTGTTTTATAGGTATAATTATTAATGACCCTTCTCACAAATGTAAATTGTCTACAATGAACATGAATATGATCTATATTTGTTTTCATGTCTTCATATGTCATTTATATGTGTGTGTCATGGATTTTATTTGATTTTCTCATTCTATCTAAAATCAACTTTTGATACTCTTTCATTATTTCTAGGTTGCTAGAATTTGGGTTATACTTACTAAGATATTAAATTTGTGATATTGAAATTTAATTATTACAATGAATTCTTATATATATTTTCCTATAAAAACTAAGTTCATTGTAATTATAAAGCTATTTAAAGTTGACCCTCCTTAATAGAATTCCTAGCTCCGCCATTGCCCGTGACACGTAAGTTCTAGCCTTAATATGCATCCATTGATGAACACTATTTAAAATACCATTTGTTGAGTGAATTGCACCATTGTAGTTTGATTATCCCAACCAACTTTTTTCTTAATCTCCATTAAGAATTATCCTTGTAAAAAGAAAATAAAATAAAAAACATATCAATCAAATCGGTCGACTATTAAATAACCTATTTGAGGAATTGCTCAATTAAAGGGTCTATATGTTTTTTTTTCTCTTTTGAGAGGGTGGCGTGCTAGTGGGTCCATCTGTTATCAGTGGTATGAGCTTTGCTCGCGCGTACATAGCACTTTCCACAACTTCTTGACTATAGAAACAAGGCTTAATTATTGTAGCACCCCCTGAAACTTCGGTCAAATCTCACTTAACCCCCCCAAAGTTAAAATGGCCCACTTTACCCCCTTGACCGTGGTTTTGTGTTCCATTAGGCTTAATTACTGTAGCACCCCCTGAAACTTCGGTCAAATCTCACTTAACCCCCCCAAAGTTAAAATGGCCCACTTTACCCCCTTGACCGTGGTTTTGTGTTCCATTTAACCCCCCACCGTCAACGCCATCCAAACGACCGTCAAAAAAGCTGACGTGGCAGGGGCATTATGGTCCAATCATCCACGGTGCCCAATTGCTGACCCTATTCAGCATCCTATGTGGCATAGTGGACCCCACATGCGTTGAAAATCCTAATCTAAGCGACTGAGTTTGTATAGTCTATTGACCCAAAAAAAAAACAAATCGAGTTTGGCAAAAGAACCCCCTTCTCAGTCGATATAATTTGGGGATTAGGGTTAGGAACGTATAATCGAAGAGAGAGAGAGAGATTTGAAAATCTAAGAAGAAGCGAATATTGTAGATGAGTGAAATCTCTTATCAGTCGATATAATTTGGGCATTAGGGTTTGGACTGTATGATCGAAGAGAGAGAGAGAGAGATTCGAACATCTGAGATTGCATAAGAGTGAAATCAGAACAATCGACATCTTGGGTACTGCGCGAATATTGGTAAAGGACAATGACGGTGCCGAGAGAGAAAGGAGGTTCTCAACCCGAGTATGGTAAGTGGCCCTTTGCTTTTGAAATGGATTCGACGAAAGCGATAGATTGTGTGGTCCAGGTTGAAACTTCTTTATTGTCTGCTTGCTTTGTTGGGTTTGATTAGCCTGGAATAAAAAAGTGTTGTGGTCCCCTATGCGTTGCTGTTATGTTTTGTTGTTTACTAGTAGTTTAAAGGTTGTTTTAGTGCTTTAAACATGTTAGGTGCGTTTGAATCTTGTTCCATGTCTGTTTACTGGTAGTTTGGTGGTTGTGTTGTCCTTTTTAAACTATACATATGACTAGGCAGTGGTTAAAGTATATTCCAAGCATGAGTAGGCAGTGGTTAAAGTATACATATGAGTAGGCAATGGTTGAACTATACATATGACTAGGCAGTGGTTAAAGTGTGTTTTTTTATGTTATGTTGTGCAGATGACAAAGCAATAGTCACCTTTGAAGTACACCATGGAGGTAGAATGGTAAAATCCCCAAATGTCAATGAATGGTGGTTTTATGTGGGGGGGTCTGTTGATTATTTGGACTGGTGTCTTCTGGACTACATAAATTTGCTACCGAACGGCTCGTGCACTTGCGAGTATCACAAGTTGAGGATGCAACTGAATCCATTTTGGTGCAGCTGAATCTACGCAATAATTGCAGAAGAGTGAAATCAGAACAATCGACATCTTGGGTACTGCGCGAATATTGGTAAAGGACAATGACGGTGCCGAGAGAGAAAGGAGGTTCTCAACCCGAGTATGGTAAGTGGCCCTTTGCTTTTGAAATGGATTCGACGAAAGCGATAGATTGTGTGGTCCAGGTTGAAACTTCTTTATTGTCTGCTTGCTTTGTTGGGTTTGATTAGCCTGGAATAAAAAAGTGTTGTGGTCCCCTATGCGTTGCTGTTATGTTTTGTTGTTTACTAGTAGTTTAAAGGTTGTTTTAGTGCTTTAAACATGTTAGGTGCGTTTGAATCTTGTTCCATGTCTGTTTTCTGGTAGTTTGGTGGTTGTGTTGTCCTTTTTAAACTATACATATGACTAGGCAGTGGTTAAAGTGTGTTTTTTTATGTTATGTTGTGCAGATGACAAAGCAATAGTCACCTTTGAAGTACACCATGGAGGTAGAATGGTAAAATCCCCAAATGTCAATGAATGGTGGTTTTATGTGGGGGGGTCTGTTGATTATTTGGACTGGTGTCTTCTGGACTACATAAATTTGCTAGAGATATATGCGTATGCGAAAGAGCTTGGGCACCATGACCAAGTGGTTGTGACAGGGATACAAAATGGTAAAAAGGTGTGTATAGATAGTGATGCTCAGCTACTTGATTGGTGTCATTTGGTGCCTCCTAGCTTTCAAAGAGTCATTGTCATTTACTTGGAACACCCCACTGTTATTAATGTGGACGAATCTGCAGTGGCTTGGAGGGAGAGGGGTCCTATTGCAAGAAACCTAACTGCTGAATTTGAACAGCCTGGTTATGAGGGTATGTATGAGGAGGATGAGGAGGATGGCATTGCTGTTGATGAGGAGGAAGAGGGTGATGAAGGTATTATTCCTGTGGGTACAAATGTGGCTGAGGATAGGCATGAAGGCACCGTTCCTGAGGGTATAAATGTGGATGAGGATGGTGATGAAGGTACTGTTCCAGATGGGATCAACGTGGA